CCGGGTTGGTGGACCACTGGCAGTTCACCTAGGGGAGTTGGCCAAAAACCCTGATTCCAAACCAACCACGAGGAGACGTACGAACCACACCCACACCTTTTTAGTTGTGGCAGTGGTCACCGGCTCGATTGGGCATTGAGGTGTATTGGGCACCTTGGACGTCTGACCCCGTCCGAAGGGCGTATGATCCGATGAACTGGACACCAGTCCTCAATGGATTGCGGTTTTCACGCACCGCCCTACTACCTTGCAGGTCAGGCTTTGGATAGTCGAAGGCTCCGGTTGTGGATTCCTCAAGAAAATACATTTGCCTTGGTCTGGGCAACCTGGCAGTATTCAGCTCACATGCGAACCACGGGACGTCTTTCTTTTTCATAAATATTATTGTGCCATGATTTGCTTGGCACACAGTCTCAGTCAGTTCAGTTCGTACAACCATTAACCATGCACCGATTTTGGTTGTTATCTTTCGGCTGCCGTTTGAATGAACATTAGGAGAAATACAGGAAAAGTTGAAAGTAGGATCGAAGGGAAAATTGAAAAGTTCAGTGGACTAATGATACAGTCTGGCCTCAGACAAGTGTGAAATATATAAATACATATTCCCATATGAGTCTTTTATGTGAGTTATATGACGATCGACTACATCCAAAAATGCACCTGCCGAATCAGCTTTGTGTCGCATGAGTGCGCCAGCTGATGAAGCCAGTAGCGTTGGCAAACCACATCCAAAGGCAACGAATTCGACGATTGCGACAAGGCGTTACCAAAGCTGTAATTGATGGTACTGTTTACATGGAAAAATACCTTAACAACGCAGTTTTGGTTAACAATACGACAGATGGATAATCAGGTTGGGTTCAACGAACACGGCCCAAATGTTGACATGAAGTATCCGACACGTCACAAAAAGATAAACCACTTACTGTTAAGCATTGCTGCAATCTTTTAATGTTAAACGTGGACAGATAACCCTCTTTTAATTTGCAGTATGTTTTTGACCGTGGGGTTTACCCCTTGTGTTGTTAATCACTGTAAAAAAAATCAAGATCCAACCACCAACTCCTCCATCAGAAACGACATTTGGCCACCAGCATCAAATTATTATGCAATCTTTATCAACCAGATTACATAGCATCAAAAAATATGTTCGCCTTCAAACCCACGTTTGCATGCTTTTTTCCCGAAGAACACTTGTAGCAACTCAACTGTTCATTGTCATAGAATAACTTTTAACGATTGATTCATCCTTTGTTCTTATGTTTTTAGGAGAAGTGCAACTTAACTAATTCCGAAATCTCCCGGTATAGCCGTCAGCTTATCCTGCCACAGTTCGGAGTAACCGGTATGTCTACGACCACATGCATACAGTTTATCGTTTTTAGTAAATCGTCTCCTAACCGGGACTTTATCGACAAACCACATTGATCGCAACAGTAGCCAGAGAATTTGCATTCAACCAGGGGTTACTTGTGAGCAGCGATGTGAGATGATTGTTATTGGTTTTGAATGACCATTCTTTGGACCTAAAGTGAATTCATCTTATTTATAACACACTCGGGAAGCACTAGACTCGGGCTTCCCTCTTCCCCTAAAACTCATCATCATTGTATCACCGTCCACCCGTCGTAGGTGTAAACCCCGAACACTTTGCATAGCCCACACGAAACTTGTCAAAACTATCTCTGTACGTTTGCTCAAATGCCATCTTCAATGATAAACAGTCGCCCGATATAAACAAAATTGGTGCTAATGACCATCGATTTTGCCTGCTCTCAATCAGCTGTCTATGCACATTAGATACCTTGAAATGTTATCAGAGGAATACCGTATATGGACGTTTAGATAATTACGTGATTTCAAACGGAAAAGATGTTAGTTGAGTTACTACCAAATCGATCATCAACATCATCACAACCACCAACACTCCAATCACAATCAGTCTCACCCAAACACTGACACATAGGGCTTACCCCTCCCCTCTTCCCATCCTAAACGACCTTTTGACGTAGCGTGAAAATGTATCCCCACTAAGAACAAACCCTTATATAATCTGTACAGGCACGATTATGAATCATTCAGAAACAATTGTTCGCCTTGGGACTTGTGTTCTGATATTACCAAAATCATTTGGAGATGAGTGAACGAGGAGGGGGAGGGGATAATGGTTAGAAAGAGTCAGAAAATGGAGATACTAGCACAGAAATAGTTACGTAATGATGAAAGATTAAACGCGGACGAGAGTTGAAAAGGGTTACTTAATACCAAATGAGAGAGCAATTCATCTAGATAAAACCAGAAATGAATTGGAAAGGTAATGAAGTAGGAAATTGATCCATCAAATGAGTCACCGTAACCGGTATCAATTCTGTTCATATTGTGTTACTAGTTTTATTCAAATAAATCAAAAGTAAGTAATGTTTCCGGTTGACACCCAGTTCATATGCTCTGACAACAATTATAAGAAATGATATGCTCCCTGTGACGCAATGGTTTAGTCGCTGTCACCAATGTGCCTGGGACCCCATGGTCCGAAGTTCGAACCCCGCCACCGCCACCCGACTTTAGTAGTAGACAGCTTTGCTGTTGTCCGGTTCAATACCACGACTAACCTGGTGTGGCCTTATGTTGTTCATCACTCCAAGTCCTGGGGCTTCGTTTCCGGTTTCCATCGCAGAATCGCAGGTCTACGCTGTTTATCATACAAAAATGTGTGAAATAGAAAAGACTCCCACCGAATCGGGTTCACCATGCGGATGTTGGGTGAACGCGTCAAGTGAAGCGCTATGCTAGAGTTAATTTACATTTAGCTCATAGGAAAGGCCAGCGGATATGCACTACTCGTGAGCACCAGCAAGAGCAAAACTGGAGCCTAGTGCTTACTATATGTATGGTTGACTCAGGGAATTGAGGAGATGTGAAATCTGAAGAATGTTTCATTGAAATCGATGGATATAGGATTCTTTGCCTCGCTGTAATTATCAGACGGATTTATTAAAAGAACTCCATTTTCCGGTCACATTCGGTCTTTTGATCTTTTTCTAATTGGTCAATTTTTTTCTATCCTGCACTAGGTCAACTGAAACTTCGTTCTGCTCGGGTCTTGATTGTTGGTTGCGGTGGTCTTGGTTGCCCCGCTGCTATTTATTTGGCTGCTGCCGGTGTCGGTGAGTCCCGTTTAGCACAGAACCTTGTATATAATGGTCGATTTGCGTTAGTATTAAGTGTGCTGTTCTGTTATTACACTACATGTGGCCGGTCACACTCAAAACACAGCGCCACTATTCTGTTCATCATAAATATATATGTAATCAGCAGAAAAGGGGCAACGGAAAGCAGTGTTGCCAACACAAGTTGACGGTCAACGTGAAAATTCTCGTAAGCTGTAATTCAAAGTTTAATTTCCTCCGCAGGCTTCACTAAACGAATGTGCTGCATTTCTAATTATGATCTAAGCTGTTGCGTTTCAACCTTAACTTGTGTGATTTATCGCTTGTACTTTGGCGTCTGATAGCTGTTTGGCACAGATCTTCCAAATCAGGTTCTGCAGCTATGATTTTCGAGATTGAAACATTTTCTTGAATTCAAGTTCCGCTCTCCTTTGTTTCATCATTGTGGTCGTTTCACAAGTCACTTCACTGTCACGTAAACTCTTTCAGGCACTATCGGTCTGTTGGATGATGACACTGTCGAGTTGAACAACTTGCATCGCCAAGTCGCGCATTCTGAAGCCGCGGTGGGAAAATCCAAGGTCAGCTCACTGGCAGACCGATGTACTCAGTAGGTGACCATGCATATCTACAGTAATCGAATATGTCTATCCCATTCAGGTTAAATTCGACTGTGACCGTGGAACAACATGTCACGCATCTAACTAGCTCGAATGCGGTACAGGTGATTCAAAAGTGAGTTATCTCCTTTCTGCTGTCCCTTTACTTCGATCCCACTTCATCCCCTCTCCCTCTTACTAGGCTACCTTCTCTGATAAATCCACGCTTCTAAGCGTGTCCGTTCGATTGAAAACTTGGTTCCCTTCAGGTTTGCATGCAACATAAAACAGAGATAGATGTAAAACTAGAATATGTCGCTTCCGCCTTCTTTTCCGCAGCGAGTTCAGTAATTTTCTTAGCCCCAGATGGAACAAGAAGATAACCATTTTTGCATTCACCTATATGCTTTAGTCGCGGTTACCGGCGTGCTTTGGACCCTGCGGTCCGAGGTTCGAACCCTGCCACCACCACCACCACCACCACCATCCAACAACTTTGGTGGTAGACAGCTTTGCTGTCTGGTTCAGTACTACGCCTAACGTAGCACCATCATCATCATCATCGTACAGCGAGATACACGGAGGACAATTTCACTGATCTCTGCCAAATTCGCAATGCATATGCACTGGGGTTTGTTAGACGGGTACTGCTAGGGTGCCCAGCCACCAAGCAGGAGAACGATTAGTGTTCTCAACCAAAGCCTTAAGTTCTGAGAAGAACCTGGCCGCAAAGCAGAGGATGAAGCGAAGCGGGGGCCCATTAAATCGGATTAATTACTACATCATTTTTTTGCCGACTGAAATGTCAATTCTAGTCGAACCCCCAACCCGGAGGACCAAGAGATTGGACTTCGTCCGACCTCTACTCTTCGAACTTCCAGGCATGATTAGATCTTCGGCTTGAAAAACGCCATCCTGTGTAGCTCGTTGGGCCAGAGAGGTGCACAATCCATCACACCACGTCAAGGTGCAGTCTCGTCGTAGCACTGGGACCTTATGTGGTTCACCACTCTCGGGGCTCAGGTTCCCGGTTTCCATGAGTGAATAGCAAATCTTCGTGACTATGGGATTCACCCCGTCTGCTGTTCATCACACAAAAATGTGTATACTGAAAAGTCAGTATTGTTTGTTAGTCCACTTGACCTGTCTGCCTAATTCCTGTGAAGAGTGTACTCTAATTTCCGGACTCGTCATACAAGGTTGGTTCATCACCATCGTCGAATTATGTAATGGGCT